AAACAAATCAATGTTAGGGGTGTACAAATCGTATCTTATATTATTATCACGACTGCCGACTGGGAAACGGAAACTGCATCAAGTAAAAATTATGTTCCGGAAATTGATCTATACCCAATCAAAATTGCACCAATGTTCCAAGTTTATTGCAAAGTGGTTTGCACGAAAGACAACAACGAGATTTGCGGTGGACTGTCAGACCAAGACGCCGTACGGCGACATGTTCTCGTGAGGCCGCAACGACCTGCTTTTCAGCCGGTAAAGGTCCCCACACACTGCCGCGGTGGTGGTAGCGGTGGCGGTAAAATGAGTCCGGACACAATTCACCGCCACCGCGGCGGCACCGCCAAGACAAAAGAATTTCACCGCCACCGCTGCAGTGTGTGGGGACCTATTATTACTGTCTGAAGATGATATGATCAACGGCGAAAACTATGACATGCAGCAACAGGCTTACGAGCAAGATCAGGTAAAGCAATAAGTAATAACGCGTTCGAACACGGAACACTTTTGCATTTTTGCTGCCAGCACTTATCATTAAGACTCCTTCACGCTGCGCTGCGTTCGTAGAAACTTCAATGAACTGCTTTATTCCTCCTAGCGAGCCATCCAGTTCACCGGTGATCTTGCCGCCGGCCCGAGACTTGTTTTTTTATCGTTGATGCAATCAGCCGGCATCATCAGAATCATAAGCAAGTAATCGATTTTTTGTTTTCCGCCTTAGAGGTTGACCACAACGCAGCGTCGCGTACGTTCACCGCCCGAGTGCCTCCGCAATACTTCGTGTGATCACGATACGTGATAATATCGTATTTGTCATTATTGTGATCAGCCGACATACCCAATTTGTCAAAATACCTACTCATCAATTATATTATTGTGCAGGCCATCAGGTTTTGCCGGTTTTGGTTTCCGTCGTGGTGTTCCGGGAAGTGCCGCCGACTTGTGTGGTATATATTCGCGAGTCGCGGTATCCACTCGTCGAACAGCCGCAGTGGTTTCCTCTCGTAGACCGAAGCAAGAAAACGCCTGTCCGCTATCGCAGTTTCAGCGAGGTACCGCCACTAGTGGCTAATGGCTTTTGCCGTGGCCAAGGTCGTTTGTTTTATATAGTTATATATAGTTATCTTCTTGTTCAGCGGGGCACACCAAATTGTATTTTTTATGAAGTCGTCGCTGTAGTATTTAATTCTTAAGGATTATTGTTGGGTTTTGACTTTTGAGTAATGACACTATCGTAATATAATGTTCGGAACACATGTACAACAATAAAATTTCATCGTGTACGTCATAATATCAACGTATACAATTAAATTGGTTTTGGGCATAGTCGTGAGCACGGCGGCAGCAGAGGCAGTATATTTTGGGGCAACCGCGGCCGGCAAATATTGAATAATGGACCTCGCTAAAATTATATTTCCAAAAAAAATGACTATTGTAGATAAAAAAAATTATAAAATTGTATTATGTGCGCGCCTCACATAACATTTTCCAATGTTACAAACCTCTATAAATATTGAAGTTGAGTTTAATTTGAAAGGTTTGAAAAATAAGTTTCAATAATACATACTAGAATAAGTGTTTATTTTTAAACTACATTAAAGTAAATTCTTATAGTGTTCCATAAACACTTGATTTATATAGATTAGATTTTAAATATTAGAAAGTTAATTAGTATTAAATGCTGAATAAACTTACAATAACTAACATTTAAATAGAGTATCATATTATATAAAGTTTATTAAACCTAAATCTATAAACATTAATATTATGTTACCGAGTTAACACTTTGCATACATTGAATTAAAATTTTTTTTTTATCGTTTATTTAAATATACACAATCTGCAAATGTTGTTTTACAATAAGTGCATGTGATGGAGGTGACATGGCTTGAGTGGCTAGAGATAAGAAGCCGCCCATTGGAGGCACTTAAGGTTAGAATTTTAGGCTAGGATTTTAATTTGCTAGTAAGAGGGGGTGGGATTACAAAATTGAGGGGAGGTAGAGGTATAAACAATTTTAAATTAGTAGGTCACGACACCAGGTACGTTTTAGACGCCTTCTGGGGTCACCAGGAACAGCGTTGGTAGATAGCTCGGAAATCAGGGGATTACGATGGCTGTGGAACTTGGTGTGTGTGCGTTTGTAGAAAGTTTTTGCGACGTTTTGGACTGTTGGAATGGCTGGATCTTTATGTAGAATGTCGTTGGATACATAGTAGGGAGCTTTGGTTATTTGACGGAGACATTTTTATTGGAAGATTTGAATTTTGTTTAAGTTGGACTTTTTGGCTGCCCCCCAGAGTTGGATACCGTATGTCCAGATCGGTTTGAGTAGGAGTTTGTATAATAGTAGCTTGTTTTTTAAGTTGATGTGTTGTGATGTGAGGAGATAATTGGCGAGAGCGATTATTTAAGGCAAGTTTTTTGTTCGGTGTCGGCACCGATGCGGTCGGGACATTTGCGGTCGGCACCTTTTGCATGCCATTTGCGGTCAATTTATTTTTATATACCGGACTATACAATTTGGGTGCTATATATAATATTTTATATACTATATACTGAATTTATGTTAATAGGTAGCTATAATACTTTTTTGCTATAATTGAAATTATACTACTGATTATTACTATACTTGTGAAATATATTATATTTAAACTTCCCTTCACACTTTTCCAGGCTTAGGACTGGCAGTATTTTTTAATACTGCCAGTCCTAAATAAAAAATTATTATTATAAAAAATGCACATAATAATATATTTGTCACAATTTACTGACTCGCAGTATACATACATAATAAACATAACCTTATTCTAATTTTTGAATAATAGCTATTTTTTTTAAGCATTTTTCTAAATCATTATCTAATTCATAGTCTACTAATGTTTTTCTAATTCTCTCGTCTAATTGTATGTACATTTTTTTTCTCCTTTTACCTTCCATATTCAAGTAGCTTCTTTCATATAAAAGCTCCGTATTTTCAGTCTCTTTTTTAAGACAGCTATATAAGTTCATAAACGTTGGTCGCGGTGTATTTAATATTTTATTTATTTTACTATTCCAACCCTCAACAATATTATTGGTTCTGTGTCTTCTTTTATGACAGTTCCACATTCCCCTTGAAATAATTAGATTTTTCAACCACTGTTCAATAAAATAATCATAAAATAGGGTATGTTTTTTATGTAAGTACAGTAAATTGTGATTGACAAGTATATAATTATATCAATTATAGTAAAAAAGTATTATATTATAGCTACCTATTAACATAAATTAAGTATATAGTATATAAAATATTATATATAGCCCCCTAATTTTATAGGCAGGTAGATAGAAATAAATTGACCGCAAATGGCACGCAAAAGGTGCCGACCGCAAATGTTCCTAAATCTAAATATATATATATATTTTTTTTAATTTCAAGAAGAGAGCCCTCGGCGACATAAGTCATTGGGTTTTTGTGTTGTATAGGTTTGTATTGTAGGTTTTTGGGACGGTAGGGGGGAACACGTGTGTGTTTGATTTGGCAGAATTTCGAATGGGGCACCCATAGGTTTCTGCCACGCCCCGGGGGTGGGGGATGGCAGCACTTGTTCTCCGGTCACCGCGACTTGTCCGGAGAAAAATGCCGTCGCAGCGGACGCGTCAGACCACTCGGTCACCTCGTCCCCAAATCTAAATATTACATCCTTATATAAATAATATTTACTTACTCGCATTTTTTTCCCGGGACTCAATTTACCGCTTTAAAAATGTACCAAACTTATCTCGGACTTAATTTACCTAGCCCCCTTTTGTTGTGGGTGTGAGTTGCCCAAGTTAACCTGCGGTCTAAATGTAGATCTAGGTATCGGACATTTTGAGCGGTTGGGAGAGGTACATTGTTGAGGTAGATGGGAGGGCAGACTATTTGTCTTAGTGTGAATGCACAATGGATGGATTTTGTTTCGTTGATTTTTATTCCTCAGTCTTTATACCAGGTTGATAAGAGATTGAGATGATTTTGTAAGAGGTTTGAGGCTATTTCGGGGTTGGAATGGATCGCTAGAAGCGCCTTGTCGTCAGCAAAGTCACCAGTTGTAGTGTTGGGGGTGGTAGGTTGATCTGAGGTGAATAAATTGAAGAGTAGAGGTGCTGTTACGGATCCTTGAGGTACTCCTGTGTGGATTGGTGATACTTCGGATAAGGAGTAGCCAGATCGAACCTGAAAAATGTCTGTTTTCTAGATAGGATTTGAATAATAGGTAATAGTATGGGGGAAGAATAGATTTGAGTTTGAAGAGTAGGCCTTCATGCCATACTCTGTCGAATGCCTGGGATACGTCGAGGAAGGCAGCTGTGCAAATAAGCTTTTTTTCAAGAGTGTACGATATTTTATCCACTAGACGATGGACTTGGTGTATTGTAGAGTGGTTATGACGAAATCCGAATTGGGTATTAGGTATGCTGGCTTCAATGATAGGAAGGATGCGTTTTAGGATAATTCGTTCAAAGATTTTTGAAAATAGTGAATACACTTAATAACCACTTTATTTGGTCGGAAACTTGTGACGTCCGACATAATATGTGCCTTTGGCGGCAGCCCGTTCCGCGTTCGAACAAGTATATATATTTATCATTTATGAGCAATTCGATATTTTGGTTTTCGTCCTTAGTTTAAATAAAATAAATAAATAAAATATCTTTAGCTTAACTAAATATTTTTTACTCCGTGAAACCGTCTGTTTATCGTCGACGAAGATCGCAACGGTAAGTTATCAGTACCTACCAACATATTGTATTATAGCGAAATATTATAGCGAACATTAGCTATGTCGTACCCATGATTGAAATATATGTGTGTACTGTGTACGGACTACGGAGACAACATAATATGTGGCCATGTGGGTGCGACCTATTCTTGATTAAAAGCTATAATCTTATATACAATATAGAACATAAACATTGATATTGACTGATAACTGATTCTGCTATAAATAAATGAATATGGCAATGTCGCCTATTAATATAACCCCATAATAATATGTGGAACGTGGTATTATCATATTTTCATAATTTTATCAGAAAATAATATTATTTTTGTGTGTACGGACTACGAATAACCAATTGCCAATAATTGGTCATTAGCGCACAATCAGTTATACACTTGGTATTACAATGTTGCATGTATAGCCCCCTACGCTGTTTTACACTTTTGTAATATTTATTAATTAGGTTCGTAATATTCGTATCGTGTTCGCTGTTGTCTGCTTGACATTCCTACAGATTGTTAATAATTGTATTGCATCAGGTTGCAGATTTAGAAGAACCAATTTACCCTGGCCAAATGATCAAAAATATTTTAAAGTATTAAGAGTCATTAAGGATAATTTTTTTACAAGAAGCTGAAAGTGAAGTGCTCAAGTTGTGTCGATACAAAGTGTTACAAGGTTGATTCACGTTTAAACTCTAATATAAGAAAACATTTAAGTGTAAGTACAATGTTAATTTCATACCTGCCTATGACAGTTGACCCATCTAATATCTAGTATTTTAAATTAATTTTAAATACCACACAAATACCTAATAAATTATAAAAATGCATAAAAAACAGTGGCGCACAGCTTTTTAAAATTCAAATTTCAAGTGCTTAAGATGTATCATAGATCTCATTATTCTATATTATGTATTTTCCTGGGCCCTATCACTAGTCATTTCAGAGGGGCCCAGTATTCTTGTGTATATAAAATAAAATAAAATAAATAACCCCCACCCCGTTCAAAAATAAATCACAGTTGCGCCACTGATCAAAAAATGTAATAATTATAAACCGACTAAGAATCGGACACAGTCACATCACACACGGACACCTTATGAAGAACCAACCACCAACAGAATGCACCACATGCGGAGTTACCCTCACAATAAAACACATTATAACCGAATGCCGATCAACCGAAGAAGCAAGAGAAAAACTCAACATACAAGCCAACATGTACGAAGCAATAGGACCCGACTGTCAACCCGAGAGGATCATAACATTCCTAAAGAACACCGGAATGGAAAAATTAATTTAAACATAATATTTAGTCATAAGTAACATCTCCCCCCCCC